TTCCGTTCATTCATTTCTACATCCGCACCCACACCCACACCCCACCCCACCCCCACCCACAACCTAACATCTATTCATGAATGAGTCGAGTTTTTTATCTACTGCCAATACAAGTTTGTCACTGATTAAATCATAAAAGTTTTTGGGTTCGTCGATTCTTTACAATATTTGAAGTTCTTTAAACGAGCAGGAAGCATATTTTAAAAAAATGCTTCATTTCTAAGTAATTTGACACTCTTCAAAATAAATACTTCTAAATATAGTTACGAATATTGCTTAGCTGAAAGAACTGTTTTTCATGCATACTTCGACATGATGATATCTACTTGTTGATGGAAGATAGTTAATTAAATGTAGCAAATATAACATTGACAAAATTTTATTGATGAAGTTAAACTTCGGTACGACATATATATCTTATATTATGTATGAAATTCAGTGAACAAGAACCTTTATGCAAACAATATTTTAACCATGTCATGTTCAATAAATTTTTGTCAAAATGATGGCAAATACTTTGTTTTAATTAACTCTAGTCCAACACCATATTGTTTATATAACAAATGTTTTACAGGTAATCGATGTGAGATTGAACAATACTCAAGAAATCTTTGGGTCTACGGTATATCGAAAGAAAATAGGAAAGATTATAATCCATACAATGAAGCAATTGTACTTTGTGTATTGGGTATAATATCGTTCGTTAACAATATATTATCGTTACAATCCTTTTTATTTTCTAAAAAAATCCGTCTAACGAATCTGGGTATATATTTAATCTTATTTTCAACAACTGGTTTGATTATTAGTACTATTCAAGTTGTATTTGCATTTGCAAATTTAACGTATAATTTTAAAGAAGTGTCGACAGCAAATCGTTTAATACAATGTGCATTAATACGTTTAGTTGTAAATTCATTAAATTTTTGCCTTTATTGACTTTGTTTATATATTGCAGTTGAACGTACTCTTATTCAATATTCATGGGTAAATCTCTATGATTCAAGACGACGTTCATTTATTTCTTCTATATTGCTCTATATATGACTACCATTATCAAATCTAATGCCAATTTTATTTGGTCGGAAAGGCCATAGTTATAATTCATATGACTTTTGCTTATTAAATTTTACATCAATTGGTTATACATTCTATGCAGTATCTCATTATATTAATTATATAGTTTCACCACTTTTATTTACAACGTCATGTGTATTTATCTTTAAGCATCTCATTGAACATCGTCTCAATTTAGTCAACGATGCATTATTTATTTCATCACTACTTTTAATTGCATCGAAACACTATGACTTTTTTTTGCCACCACTAGTCTACAGCCTAATGAGTAGCCCCTATTTTATATTGGATAAATTGATGAATTGTTTACGAGCAGATTCCATGGCAGTATCACGTGCAAAGACTGTAACACAACTATTAGGTCATAGTGCATTGACCTTCACATTTTTTTTCTATGTCTATTTATCAAAAGTATATCTTACGGAATTTTGGCAAACATCACCATTTGGACGATTTTTAACTTGTGGTGTGAAACGTTTTAGAAACTCTCGTAAACATCAAGCTTTTGTCGTTAACAGTGAATACCATTTCTGAATTTGTAGCGGAAGTAGCTGGAAACATTTTCTTATCAATAAATTGTTTTTCTCTCTACCGTGCTTTAATGGAATTTCATCTAATTCATTAATGAGTGAAAAAATGATGCTAAGACACATGAAAGATTCAGTGAAGCGTTCATAAAGCGGAACAAACGATGCAGTTGATACTAGAAAGCAAAGTCTATGAGTTAGCAGTGTAATGACGAGTCAAAAGTAGGGAGTATCAATAAATCTGAATGAATTCAATGGGCTAGTGGCAGTATTTCTGGTTCAATACAGTAGCAGTGATGAAATTTGAAACAAGTTTTCGAAAACCATCGCGTCAACAAAATATTCTCAGCCATGATGAACGTCTCTGACAGAAGGCTTGTATTCTTGAGGGTGTGGGTGGGTGTGGGTGTGGGCGTGGGGTGGATGTGGGTGTGGAGTGGGTGCGGGTAGAGACAAAAGATAAACACACCGAAACACCCACCCCCACACCCTAGATATAATTTAAATATACTTGAGAGTTCAATGGCAACAGCTCTTAATCGTATTTTACCTTTAACAAAACTTGGTAAATTAACTATTGTATATAATACTTTTCCTCTCGAACAAATAATCAAACTATTACATTTTACATCTAATTTACATACATTAAAATTTGGGTCTATATCACTTAAGGGGGCACCCCCCCCCCCGCCAGGAACTACTTCGTACTTTTGTTGGTAGTGGTCGGGGAGGAACTTGGAGAGT